CGGAGGGAATTATGAATAACCCTATATATTATATATATAGATAGATAGATGTAGATATATGTGCGTGAGTGTGTGTTTGTGGGAGAGAGAATGGACAACACATTCTCAAACTCTTACCTGGCCTAATTAGAGTCAACAAGAGTTAAGGTGGGGAAAAAATATTTCTCTGGAACTAATTTAATTGAGATTGAAACTTAAATGCTGTTTCCATCAAAAATCGTGGACATCCCTATCCTTTTGAAAAAATAAACTAATTTTTGATCATTTTAAAATTTTGTCGAAATTTTTTATCTGAATAACAATTAGTATATGTTGGAAATGTTTATTTTTTCACACTCATAAATCATTATTTTACCAGTTTCTAAAAGCATACATTATTAACAATCTCAACGAAATCTAACTTAGATAGTATTTTTATGTAAGCTTTTGTAAAACTTGCTTGAAATAACAATAAAAAAGCATACGTTATATCTTTTTTTTAAACAGTTTTTTACTGATTTTAAATTAGGCTCTGAAATGCATGCGAAGTTTAAAATTTGCTTGCATCAATTACATTACTTGTTTAGTATGACATCTTTTGTGCATTAATTTTTATTGCATCACGAGTTTATTCATCTGCCCTAGTTTCTAAAAGATTGTTAGGTCCCATGTGTTTTTCTTTTTTTTTTTTTTTCATTTTAATTTGATTAAATTAACTTGGGTATCCTTTCATAACACAAGTATCAACTCAGAATAAAGTTTAGAAAAACAGTAAGTATTCTCTTTTAAAGGAAATATGTAGTTAAATGGATAATATCTAAAAACTAATTGTTATTTACAAAGTTGCATATCTGCTGCTACGTTACACAATATTTTTGATGAGTCTTGGATAAAATAGCAAGTTTGACAAAAACTACAAATCCAAATATTTTGATAAACAAAATAGGATATATTTTAATCAAATATCATACAAAAATGCACAATAGAGAATCATATTGAAATTGACAGACAATTAGCACTTATTAAAGAATAAGTAATCGGTACTCTTTAACTTAATTGGTACTAATTAAAACATATACTTGGTACTCATTTAGGATTGGCCTGTTCTTATATGGGAGGTGCCACTAGCTGTATGCAATGACGTTTCCTGTAGGATGCTGCTATCTAATTTTAAACTTTCATTATGTGCCCTAATAATTCCTTTGATAGCTGTGAATGTAGTTACAGAATTTAATTGATTTTTCTAAATTCCGTTTTAAATTGTAGAAAAGGGACACAATTTTAAGAGGTCCTCTATTGTACTCCATTTTTTGGATTCTACAAAAACTTATTTTGTTCCTCGTTTCTTTCTATTTATTATTTTTTTTCTCAATTTATCAATCAATGTTATTTTTAAATTTATGGATGAAAAATTTCTAATTCTTCAAACATCAAGAACTGTCTACTTGTTTTTAGGTCAAAAAAATCATGTTTTTAATCAAGATACTTTAAACATCTCAAGAGTTTAATGAAATCGAAGCTTAGTTCAATTAGTGCTATCTCATAATTTATTGAAGCAACTGGTGCCTCTTTCTCTCTTAACATTTAAAGCAGGTTCTTCCATTGGGTCTAATGATTGTAATGGCAGCTTCATTTCATCTCATAACTCATTTTTATTAGCTTCAAATAATCATGAATAGTTGAGACTCTCTTGACTCTCCTGTTACCCCGATAAAGAGTAATGATAATATTTAATTTTCTATTTGAAAGAGAAGATAATTTGTTAATTAAAAAGTATTTCTGCATTTATTATGCATTACATTATCATAGAAATAACTATTAACTTATTATTAAATGATTTAAGTTGCAATTAAGTTAGTTGAATTTATTTTATTCATTTAATTAAATTATTAAGCCTTATAATTAAAAATTTGTATTTCATTTAATTGTTGTAAAGTAAGTAAATTTCTCCCACAACAGCCCGTTGTCAACAAGACCATGGAGGTACCACAATTTTAAAATTATGAATGGTGACAATGCGGTAAGGTTTGCGCACTTGCCACCTCTATTTCCAAGACTAACTGATATCCATCGTGTTTAAATTGATTTCAGTAGAGGTATAGGCGGTAACAACTTGTTACCTGGACCACTATTACATCACGGCACAACTGATATTCATTTATTAACGTGGTGTCCCATTTCATATAACGCAAAAACGGTTATGTTTTATTCGAAATTATCCTCGGTATAGGAGAGTTACTCCAGATGTTTGATTAGACTATCTTTTTTTTCTGGATTGACTTAAAAAGCACAAGTTTGTGGAGTTGAACATTGACATAGCCACACACCCGATAAGAATCAGTTGCTTAATTCTGGTTGTAAAAAAAGGTGAACTCTTTGACCGAGCATTGGAAATGCAATCTTACCTTCATGGAAGAATTATTGAGTAGAGCTTATTATGTATTTTATTTTATTTTATAACCATTGAAAATCCGACCCAATTTTGAAATATAGGCCACCAATGTTTTACTCAGTAGCCTTGTAATTTTGAACCCAATCCAGAAGATAAGGGAACTCCTGAATCAAGTATTGAGCAAAATTTGCTTTCGTGGAATAGTTTTGATTTAAATAACCAACATTTGTGTTACGTGGAGAGGAAAATCTCGAAAACCTTCCGTGATCAGCCTGATAGCAAAGGGACTCTAACTCGTGTCCCATCTATCTCTGAGGATATTTTGCGGCAGCACTGTGGTCGGCGAGTGCCGGGTGCAATATCCGATTCAACCAGCTGTCGCTGTGTTTCAAACCGGTTTCACCTGTGTTTCAAACCGGTTGGAATGCAATCACTTTATCCCCTGAGCTACTACGACTCTGCTCAATATATATTGAAAAAAAAAATGAAATTCTACCTAACACGAGGACTCTAACCTTAAATCCATCTATCACTGGTGATATCATTCTTAAGCGCTGTGAACCATGTGAGGCATAATCAGGATTTTAAGAGATCAGAGATCACTGCGTTTCATATCTGGTTCACCTCACTGGTCCAGGTGTGAAGCAAGAAGTAGAAAGACGGGTGATACACTATAATATATACCGTGATACAAGCTTCTGTGGCAAACTAAAGATGTACAATACATCCAGTCACAGTCACCCAGCACAAACACGCTAATGAAAATACAGTTCCATCAATTTATTTGAAGTGCCATGTTTCTACATCAACAATGATGCATTTTTACTGTGGCCAATGGAATTGTGTAGATCATAAATTTGTAAAAGAAAAAGTCTATATGTCATCAATGCCAATAATACTGCAGAAACGCATGATGCTGCTCTGACGGATATTGCTATCGAAAGTTGGGACGGAATTGAATGGCTCATGCAATGTTTTACGGATGGCAATATTATCAAGAATTTCCTCAATGCCAAGCTGCCAACCTACGAGGATCGGTTTATTGTCTGTCTTCCGCAGATATAGGAAGAAAGATATTAAATGCATCCTATTCCCATCACTTTAGGAAAACTAGCTAGTGAACTATATATACAATTGCACGGTATTCATTACTTTGTCTCATTTTTAAAATTAGGAGCTATTGCTTGGTATTTTCTACATTTTTTTTAAAAGTAAATTGTAATTTGCCCAGTATCATTTCCCTGATGTTTATTTCAAGTTGAAGACCTATTCCTCTGTAATTTTTACACTATTGATTTCTTAACCTAAATTATGTAGAATTCGTAGCTATCTCCGGGAGAAAACAATAATAAAAACCTGTGTCATAAATGAGGAAACAAACTAATGTAACAATAGTAAGTTAAAATCAATAGAATATGTAGAAATGTTGTTGCAATTTGTTATTAAAAAGTAAAATCTTTTATTTTCGATATCCAAATTATGAAATATAAAAAAAATTCTGTCAGAAGCTTCTGCTTCAGGAAAAACACCAAAATGCACCCCTCATGTTTGTTATTTGCCCGCTATCCCTTCCCTGATGTTTATTTCATGTTGAAGAGCTATTGAGTGGAAGAGCTACAACAAAAGATATGGAACAATTCATTGCCATAGAACTTGGTATTGAGGGACTAATGCTGCAAACTACTTGTTTTTTAGTCCTAGCTTACAGGCATCCAAAACTGTAATTAAAAATACACATTTCTAAGTTTAATGTGTTACTCATTAGAAACAAAAACACATGTAAAAAAAATGTAAAGCACTTTGCAATTTTTTAAAAAAATTTTTGGGTTGTATTGAATTGGTTTTAAAATAATATTATTTAGTATAATATTGTTTTGAACAATATTCTTTATCATTTTTGTCGGATTTCGAATGTATTTATAATCATAACACTAAGTAAGTGTTTATATGTTGGAATAAATTAGATTTATGTTTTTTCCAATTTAATAAGTAACTTTCTATTTTCCGCGGATGAAATCTTATTAAAAAACAATAATTTTTCTACTTAATTGAAAGTGATATCAAATATGTTAAGACTAAATGATACTTTGAAAATTGGAAGAAGATAATTGGAGAAATTAGTTACTTTGCTACTTTACTATCAATACTTCACTAAAATCCTACAAAAGTAAGAGTAATGCATTAAGATTTCTATGTTTTTCTTATTACTTTATTTCATCTAATTTCCGTTGCAAATAGCAATTCAAATATC